GCACAGCCCCAGGGAAGGTACTCATCTGCCTGCTCCTGACTTCAGACCTGGCTGGGGGTGGGGAGTAGAGGAGTAGAGGAGGGCCTCATGGTGCTGGGTGGGGAGCTGAGAGAGAATGAGGGAGGGTACTATGCTCAGGTGAATGAAGAATTTGCATCTTCAACCACCAAAGCCCTGAATGATTTTCCAGTGAAATGAGAGGTAAGGCATAGGGGCAAGCTGATGTGAACAGAGCACATTGGTCCTGCCAAGGTGCCCACCAGTGCTGAGAAGTGGTTCTCAAGATGGGCTTCATGTGAAGGAACTTGGAGGTTCCCATGGCCTTTACTTGGGATGGAGTCCTGGGTGGGTGTTTAGGGTTGGGCCAGAGGGTAAGATGCTCTGGGATCTACCTTACCCCTTTCTGGGCTGGAGTTCTGGAGGGAGTCTGAGGACTTCACAGAGGGAGCCTGGCATTGAGTCTGAGGGCTTCTGTGTAGGGTTTCATGGTATCTGTCTAGGATGGATATCCTGTGAGAGAATATTTCTCTGTGGGGTCCAGTCCAAATATCTATATATGAGGTGGAGGATGACTGGGTCTGAGTCAATCGGGATGTGTTCTTGGAGAGTGAAACAACCCAATGTAATTTTGAGGTCTTTTTGAGATCTAGGTCTAGGCACTCTGTTTTCGTTATTTCTTTGGGGTTTTTTTCTATCTGACAGTCCCTACCATGCCCAAGGGCCGAGCTGTGGGGGTGAGGGTGCTGAGTCGGCAAACAAAGCCACCTGTCCATCCTTCAGGAAGCTGTGAGCGCTGTGAGCGAGCTGATCCAGGAAAACAAATAGGAGCAGCTGCTGGGGGCTGGGAGGGGGGCCTGCGACGAATCAGCCCTGGTGAAGGGGGGAGAGTGGCAGGGGATCTAACCGTACAGGAAGAGCAGTGACTAAGCCCCAGTCTGGCTCCACAGGCAGGCTTCCTGGTCCCTGTCCTGACTCAGTGGCTATGAGAGTCAGTGCAGGGAGGTGGGGACTTTAAGAGAAGAGGGCTTTTTGGGATGCGTGGCTATTAGTAGGGCTGGCCAAGAGGCCCACTGTTGAGAAAGTTTATGACAAACGGCAACAACTAAACATCAGGGACTGACTGAATGGAGGTGGGGAGCGCCCCATAAGAACACCGAGGTGCAGAAGAGAAGGGCTGGCAGGTGTCACTCTAGTACTTAATGCAGAGCTAGCGCTTCCGGCTGCACCTCAGATCCCGAAGGACCCTACTCCCAACCGGGAGCTCAGCTGTTCTACGCTCCCTCCATCCCGCCAAGCCTTGAAAATCCACACATCATTCTGCAGAATACAATCTTTCCGCCAGCGTTTGGATTGGAAACTGCGCCCATACTCTCCAAGGTGGGGCTTTAGAGGCAAACCCAGAGCAAAGACTAGGCACCCGCCCAACCTCCGGACCAACACTCAGCGCCCGCGTCACGGGGCACCAAGGACGCACGGTTTGACGCACTCGCCACCTGCGCCTGCGGCCCCTCCCCACCTCGGCCGCCCACCGGTTCTTCTCCATCCCACACCCC